CGTTCCATTCTATATGCATCCGAAGAAGTGGGCTGTAGTCCACGAAAGCTTATGCTCTAATAAATTTGTTAGTCTCTAAGGTGCCACAAGTACTCCTGTTCTTTTTGCGGATACAGACTAAAACAGCTGCTACTCTGAAACCATTTATAGTTATGTCTACTGTGTATTACCCCAACCGCCCACTGGATGTCAGTGGTGCTCCACCAAAACACAGCTTTAGGTACACTCATCGGGGGAATAAAATGCTCTAAAAACAGACTCACAGGGGTGGGGGGGAAATTCAATTTCAGTCATTTCCTGTCGCATTATGAGATGTGATGTTTGCTAGGATATAAAGGTTTACATGGAGTCTTAGCCATGATAAGCCGACGAGCCACACATTGGATAAACAAGGATAGAAACCTAATGCCGTAGTTAATTGGGTTGCAGTCCCAATGTCACACAAGCTAATGAAAGTTATATTGACCCCTTAGAAACTAGATCTTCCAAACTTTGATTGCTTCCTTGAGCCATAAACATATTTACTTATTCCAGAAACGTGCCACAGCATCCTCTGAATCTGTCTGATAGGCCAGTCAGTACCATTATGCTAATAGCATAATCCACTGTCTCTGCCTCTGACATGTAAATGTTGTTCTTTCAGAGACTAGAGGTCAAAGTAGCAACAACAGGTCCTATACTCCAGCCACAATCTAAGGGGAATGTGCCCTCTCCAACGAGCTGCCTGGCAATGCAACAAGAGCAAAACAGCTGAACTACTCAAGGTAACTGCAACCCAAAATTGATTCAAACCGAGCATCTTGATCTTGGGCCTGGAATTTTTTGCCTGAACTTCCATTGAATGGAAAGAGGGTGAGGGTAAAAATCTAGCTGCCTGCTCCTACATGGAACAAACGTAGGCCTCATGCATTGGGTCCACGCGCTGGACGAAGCTTGCAAGGTTGGCAATATACAGCGACCTTGGAGTGTCACATTTTGAAGAAAATGAAATTACAACAGAAAACTGACCCCTAAAGGCTCAGAATTGACTCCTGGTCTGTTTCACAGGTTATTTCTTTAAGTGGGCTTCACTCCCTTTTAAAGGTGGGATAAAACAGTTCTTGATGCTATCTGCTAGGAATCTGCTTACAGAACTGAGTTTGGAATTAGCACCTTTTTGTCTACTGTCAGGTCAATGCTTTGTTATTCTCTGTGAGAGATGCCGAGACCATCCAACAAGGAACAGAGCTTTGACTGGCTCAGACAGGACTGGGAATGAATACAGATCTTTTCTGTATTATTTTTTGTTGAGAAAGTCATGCTTCATTAACCTTTCCTTAACACCCTACAGCAGAGTAATGAGAGCAGCTAAAATTATTAAAAACAAACACAGCAAAAACCACTTACCAAACACCTGATGCTAAAAGAAACAAATCAGATAAGACTAGACAGGAAATGGTCTCCAGACCCACTGTAAAGCCTGTGGTAGATTTTTTTTAAATAGAAAACCTATTATAAAAGCCTCTTATCACAACTTAAACGTCTTACTGATTATACTAGACCAATAAAGCTGGGAAGCATGGATGAACCTTTGCTGTTCTGCAGTCAATGCGATTCCTTAATAACACCCGGCCCGATTCGGCACTCACAGTGGGTTTACACTGGTGTGCATCCATTGACACCGGTGCAGTTACTGCTCACTTACATCTCTATCAGCGAGAGAAGAATTGGGCCTTAGGCGAGTGACATCCACAGTCCCTTTCCCAGGCTCAGAACGGAGAGGATGGGGAGGATGAATCAATTCTCATCAGGAAGATTTTTGTGGGTTTTTTAAATATTTTCAGTAGCAAAAATCTAGTGATGGGTGTGGACAGTGGCTCTCCTCTAGCAGGTCCGGCTCCCTCTCCTAGGCAAGATTTATTCCCTTATCACTAAAAGCAGCCTGGATGGTTAAACCCCAGCACTGGGCTGCCCCACAACTGCTGATGCTCTCTGTCCCCAAAGCAACTTCTTTCCTCTCTCTAGCTCCTTCCCTCCTCTGCCATCTCCTAGCCCAGCTGTCCTGCTGCCAAGGTGGGCTCCTTACAGGGCTGTGAGCGGAGGAGAGGGTGAGAAAAGCCGGGCTGGAAGGGAGCTCAACACTGCGGCTCGCTCCGGGCTCTGCTCTCCTGCGGCTGTCTAAAGAGGGGCCCGGCGAGATGCCTGTCCCATTTCATGCCAGCAACAAGCAACCACCTTCCATCTGCTCCCCATTCACCCCCATGCCACGAGCCGGGCTCCCGGCTCCCTCCCCTGCCTGGGATGCCCCCTCCTGGGGGCGCTGCGCAAACACCCACGTTGCACGAAGGCAGAGATTTGAAAAGCCCTGATTTAATTACAGTGCTATGAAGGGGGGGGTCTGAATCCCGCAGCGATCAACCAGCCGCCGGGCGCCCCCCAGGGGAAATTTTTTTGGGGGGGAGTGATGCCTCCCGGCAGGTTCAGAGCCCGGGTGCATCTGGGGCGGATGGGGATGTGTGTGTGTGGCTGTGTCTCACCCCCACTGAAATCTCAAGCGGGGATTTACCCAGCTCCGTGCAATGTGCAACCTGCGCTGCTCGGGGTCTTTGTCCCCCGCCCCCGGGCCGCAGCCTGAGCCGGGCTGGGCGGCCCGAGCCCCGGAGCCGGGCTCCAGCCGTGCCCAACAGGTTAGCCCCGTCCTCCCTCCCTTACCTCCGCCCGGGCTGGCTCCGCCGCCGCCTCAGCGCTCCTGCCCGGCCGCCTTCAGCCCGGCCGCCTGAGCCAGCCCGCTGCCTCCCCTCGCCCGGCCGCCGGCTCCATCCAGCCTCTGCCCGCTCCGCTCCGCGCCGGCCCGCGCCTGGGGGGAGCCGCCGCGGGGAGGCGGAGAGCGTGTGCGCGGCGGCCCAGCCCCAGCCCCCCCGCTCCCTCCTCCTCCTGCAGCAGCCAGCCCGCCTCCTCCGTCCCCTTCACGCGCGCCCGGCGAGCCCCCGGGGGATGCAGCCCTGCCCAGGGCGAGCTAAGGGGCGATGCCCGGGCCCCTGGTGCCAGCCCCAGGCGGGTCTCCAGCCCGCGGCTGGGGAGCTTAGGTGAACTTGGGTGGCTTTAGCAGCCCGCCCCTGGGTGCCCGCTCACCCTCTGCCCCCCTCCAGGCCAAGGGTGGGCGATGGAGCCAGGCACAAAGGGAGCAGCCTTGGCAGTTTGGCCCGGGGGTGCTGGGCTGGGCGGGAGCAGCCAGGCGCACAAGGGGCGCTGCCAGCCCTGCAGGAGGTGGCAGCTTCCCCCAGGCTGGTCTGAGCCAGCGCCTGGGCACAGGCTGGGGGCCACTGGCTGGCAGGGCAAATGGGTCTTGCTGCTTGTGGTTACCAAAGGCCTTGTGGGGACTTTTCACCATAGGAGCAGGAGTATTGCACCCCCACCTCCGCAAAAACGACCTGGGTGTGGGGCCCGCAAACTGCCCTGCCCCACGCAGATGGGCAGCTGAGATGGCTGTTTGCTTTACTGTAACCTCCTCCTCCCACCCCATGGTCTGCTTGGGCCATCCTGTCCCACATCTAGATTGGCAGCTCTGCAGGTCAGGGACCTCTTTGTTACTTCTCTGTACAGCGCCTCGCGGTGGGGCCCTGAGCCTTGATCGGGGAAGGTCCTGCACATCATCAATAATAATATTAAGAGATGGGCTAATGCGGGTGGTCACATTCTGCCTACCTAAACTTCCCCGTCGTTTCAATTGGAGCCAGGATTCTTCTTCGCTGATGGACCCACAGTGTTGCTGTGCATGGTTAGATAGCTGCTGTATCTCACCCCAGAGGTGGCTGCATTCCAGGATGAACTGATAAATGTATACATTGAACCAAGCCCGTTGGAAGGAAAAGAGCTACATAAATGTAATCTGTTGTTACTCTCATTAATAAATAGCGCCAAACCCTGGCCTCCGTGTGGACCATTTGGGAACAACACACAATGAATGGGATTTGTTGGTGTCTCAGGTCCACAGCTTGAGGCTGAAGGCTGAGTGATACCGAGCACCCAAGCTGTGTGGGTACCTGATTCAGGGTGTTAATGTTACTCCTATGGGAGCTTGACTTAAATGGGAGCAGGCCAGTGTGTGACACTTTGCCTGGTTTTCCCCTGCCTTGCAAAGTGCTACCCTAGCCGAGTGGCAGCATTTTCCACCCATTGCACTTTGCACAGGTGCGAATGACTGAGTGAGGAATCGGGCCCATCGAGTCACTGCATGTATCCAGCAGTTGAACAGGTGCATTCTCCTATAGCAGTTTAAACGCTGACTGCCAGTGCCCAGAGTTGGAGCATTTAACCTGCTCTCCCTCCCACATACCAAACAGAAACACTGACAAGACAAGACAAACAAATAGAGCAGAAAAACACTTTCACACACCTTCTTCTCGACTAGCTTTTGCTTGTGATCCCCACTAGAAAATGACTCCAACTGCCCGCCTTCTCCCCCACTCTCCTCCTGAATAAAACTGGCAGAACACATTCTGCGCCAAAGCCACTTAACTAAATAAGAAAATTTGACATTTCTTTTGCACCTTGAGGATCTCAAAGGCATATGACAAACTCAGCAAACTGCCGTACAAATCACACAGGAAGTTCATGCTAGACATCACTGAAATGCTGCCACTTCTGGGGTGGAATGCGGCAGCTGTTTAATAACGCACAGAATCCATACTCAATAGTTCAGGGAAGTAAGAAAAATACCATCCCCCAATTGGAAACACCTGATGTAATTTTGGCAAGCAGAACCAAAGAAATTTAAATGGAAAAGACTTATTAGATCATCTATATCCATATTCCAAGGCAGTGCATGATTGTTTTCAGAGACAGTGTATGAGAGCCAGACAGGAGTCAAACCTACACTCCTATAATTCACAGTCAAATATGCATTGTGCCCCTGGTATTGGAGAGAATGTATTTGCCCAACATGGAGTGCCAGGGACAGTCACAGACTGGGCATCCTCCCTTCTGGCTTTTTGTCAGGAGACAAGCTCTGAGGTGATTGCCAATGAGTTTTAGTGATTCTGCATGATGGATTCATGACCCAGCAGTCTGAGTAAATGGCAAGTCCTAGTCATTGTCAGGGTGCGTTGGTGCTCACTGACAGGACCTTCCCACCATGTGGATTTGCTTCATGCAGCTCCCTTGGTCTGTTAAGACAGCAGATGGGAGTGGAATGGGGCATGAGGAGCTGGAGCCCCCAGGGAGGACACAGGGAAACTGGGGACAGGCATGCAGAAGTGGGACAGGAAACAGGGCAAGGCATGCAAAAATGGGGCAGAGCCCCCGGAAAGGAGGTACAGAGGCCGGTGATGGGGTGAACAAAGCTCAAACTGGACCAGAGCAGGAAGGGGTTAATGGCTAGACCTGGAAAAAGAGGCAGAAACCAGCTCCACCCTGCAACATCTGCCACTAATATCAAGCTAGGAGGAGCCTCCTCCAGCAGGACTGCGTTAAAAGGGACTTTGAGATGCTTGGTTTTATTTCTTAAGCTGCTAAAAACGGCAATACATGTCACCTTCCGGCTGACCCCAGGCACGGCAGGAAGAGGTGTCAGGCAGCAGCCCTGATGCACTAACCCCTTCTCATGGTGTACAAGGATTGGCTATTGACTAATAAGTTCTTGCAAACTTCCCTGGGGGAAAGACAGAGCAGTCCTGAGGATTAAAACCATTGGAGCCCACCAAGTTACGCCTACCCTACTCTCTGCACTTTGATGCTTGTGGCTGACCGCGCCCGAGGCCTGGGTGTCACAAACTCCTCACCTGGCGTCTTGCTGGAGGCATTGCTGCTTTTCCATTAACGGCCCTCTTCCTTTAATTACAGATCTGCACACGTTTGGCCAGGCTGCCAGCTTTCTGGGGCACTTCATCCTCAGACAACGGCCCCCATGTCTCGGCATGAGGTAATTATACTGCAGTAAAAGGGTTGATTATGGTTTAATAATGTTCGGCTAAGCTGTAGTGCAAAAGGCTCTGCTCATTGCTTGGAGAAGGCATGGGAACTGGGATCCTGGAGGGACCCTTTCAAACACCGGCAAAACGGTGCAGGCCCACCAACGGTGGAGCTATCAGAGAGCACTTCATGCACTCCCCAATGGGACCGTCCCACTCTCCTGCAGGGGAGAAAGTATGTCTGTAGGTGGGGAATCTTCACCCTCCACCATTCTCTCCTATGCGGGGGCAGGACACAATCTGGTCAGGGTTAAAGTAACGGACAGGCAGGTTTATTGGCTACATCCCTAATGGCCAGTTGTCTACCCGAAACGAAGCCTCCCAAAGAGACTGTCCCAGCCTGGGTCCTTGGGGCACTGGCTCTACTTTGGCTGCTCCAAATCCCTGGTGGAGGGCGTGGAGGCGGGTCCTTCCAGGGGGGATATTACACATAGACATTCATTGGTTTCAACCTACTGTAGCAAACAACACACATTAGAGCCACACCCAAGATCTGCTGGTATCGCTCAGCAGAACCTGTTTCCATCCCTCTAGCTCCTAAAGAGGGACAGAGCAGGGAGGACGAGTCTTTTTGCCTCTAGTCCCCACAGTGCCCGTTAACCCATGCTCAAGAGCCGTCTCTGACCCTCTAGCCCTGCTGAGCTCCCTCTGCCCCACACTGACTTGCATCAATTTCAGCTGGAAAGTTTGGGCACCAGAGCAGATTTGGATATTAGTCCTCCGAAGTGTTGCCTTGGGCAAAGGCTAAGCAAAGGGGACACTTCTCCAAACTGAGGATACAACTGGAATAGTACCAGGACCATGGCAAGCCAGTACCAAACTGTTCTCCAGCTCTGGATTTTCCACCCATTCAAACCCTGGCTTTGCTCATTCATTTGCAGTTGACACCTTTGGGTCTCCTCATTCCTAGCCCTGCCATCCCAAAGGACCCAGATACGTAAACCCCAGAATTATATTAATGTCAGACTAAGTAGCCCATGTTTGAAAGAAGCAATGTTTGAGCCCATTAGGGGAAGGAGAGGGGGAGGTGAAATTTTCTTTACTTTCTGATTAGCAAGGGGCTTGCCTGGAACCAGAACAGATACAGCAGGTAGGAGCAGAGGAGGGGAATGACAACAGCAGTCCCGATTCCCACCTCACATGCATCGGCTGCAACTTTGAAGAGCCTCATTATGAATTACAATCTTCTGGTAGTCAGGAAGTGCCACCTTCCATAAATCAGCTCACAGGTCCTGGGGGACGCAGTGCTGGCTGTGATGCCGGAGGAAATTAGAGAGACACAGTAGGCAACAGTTCCTCAGCATCCTCTTAATTCGGAATAGAACCGAGTGAAAATCCAAAACAAATAATTTACCCAAGGAATTTGCCTCTTTTTTCCTTTGTGGGACAATCCTGGGCAGGTGGCAATTTCCTCCCATTTTATTTTCCTTCAACAAAAGTGTTTGGTGACTTTTGCAGTGTTCTGTAGATCACAAATAGGATTCATTACTCACTCGTCAAACTATCTTGGTAAATTATGATTGGTCAGAATAGTCAGGTGTATTACCTTTTTGCTCCTTGCTTGGATGAGCGTGCAAGCACATCCCACACAAATACACACGTGCAACTTTGGCGTTCACTAGCATTTGACCGGATTGCATGAATGTTTGTGGGAAGGCACGAAGGGGGAAGGAGAAAGAACACAGCCAATGTGGATTCCATTTAAAGTTAAGAGCAAATAGTAGTGGAAACTTTTTTTGCTGTATTTGTCCAGCTGTAATTTGGTGAGAAAGAAAGAAAGAAAGATTGTTTAAAGCAGGGAATTTTAAAATCTCATTCATGGCAGCTGAACTCTTTAGTGTAATTTCCTAGTTAGACCAAGGCCTGTGTGCATGTATATGTCTGTGTTTCCATGTGTATGCCTGTTTAGACATAACCTAGAGATCTCCTGCCATCCCCCCAAAACCTGTCTCCATCCCCCTCAAACTCCTAAAGAGGGAGGCCTCCCTCTGTTCTATAGAAGGAAGGGAAGGTCTCTTTGCCTCTAGCCCCATGAGCTCTCTCAACCCCATGGGAGTTTTCTCCACACCTCCCAAGATCTCATGTCTAGCGGGCAGGAACTAGTGTTTGCCAAGCTGAGGACCAGGGAGCGTGGGGGACGCTTTCACCAAGCAGACAGTGAAGGAGACGCTGTCAAGACCGGGAAGCCTGACAGAGTGAACTGCGTTGGTTCAGTTTCCAAGCATCTTTTCTCTGCCTTTAAGATGGCAAAGCCCAGAGATATCCAAGAACCCCCTTCTGTGAGCACCCCCAGGAGTGGGATCCTGGTCTGTTCCAATAACACAGCTGCTCAGAGGAAGGAGCAAGCCGGCAGGTTGGGCCAGAAGGACTGTGTGCCATGTACACTCGCTCCTGCCCTTGCAAGTGAAGCTCAAAGCCCTGGGGTAGGTAGAGACAAGTGGCATTTCTTTTCTGTTGCAGAAAGGACATTGTGGACCTGACTTTCCCATCACTCTGATCTAGTAACGTTTTATACCCACGGATGTAAATGACACACGCGGGGCAGGCAATGGTGAATCAGGCCCTATGAAGGTAGGTGAAATTCTGCCAGCTGCCCAACCTATCGACTCCCCTTCATTCCTGTTAACTACATTCTAGCTCCCCCTCCTTCAGTGGAACGAGCCACTGAGCTCAGGCAAGTGGTAGGAACCACAGCAGCTGACAGTGAGAGCAGGACTGCAGCTTTTCTAGCTGTAGCCTTGTGCCTGTGACCCAGACAGCCTGGGATTCCCCAGCCACTACCCATTCTCCCTGAGAGCTATTGGGCAGTGCTTGGTTACAGGGGTTTCTATTTATTATTGTGAGATTATTTCCCCTTGGCTGGTTTATAACTTTGCTAAACAACATCGGTTTGCTTCCCTTTCACACAACTCACAAAATAACAGCGATGTATTAAGGGACAGTCAGGGCAGATGCAAATGCAGACTCTCACCTTCGCACAGGTTGCAGAGCCAGGGATCACACCCCAAGAAATAAATCCATCCCAGCGATTAACCTAACTAGCATCTGTTCCACTTTCAATACGAACCAAACCAGGGCCGGTGGCACCAGCCAGCCAGCCTTCTGGGCAAGAGAGCTGGTTGAAAAATGAAGAGGCCAAAATTGCAGGGAAAACTTGGAAATCTCAATGTTGTTTCTATTTCACAAGGTTAAAAGACAACGGTGGCAGAAATTTTTAAATCAAAATCGTTATCAAAAGGGTTGGCAACATTTTTCATTTACCAGAAAACCAGAGTTTGGTAAGCGCAACATTTTGATAACAATTGCAATAATGGTTTTGTTGACAAAAATGTCGTGAACGTTTTGTAAAGACTGGAACAGTTTGGGGGGAAAAAATCTCAACAGTTCTTTTTGAAAAAAGCCATTTTTTAACAATAACAAGTTTCGTTTAAAAAATGCGGACCGGTTCGAAGAGGCATGCAGCTAGGGTGACCAAACAGGAAGTGTGAAAAATCGGGATGGGGTGGGGGATAAAAGGAGCCTATATAAGAAAAAGACCCAAAAATCGGGACTGTCCCTATAAAATCAGGACATCTGGTCACCCTACATGCAGCGTACGTCCTAGGAGGGAGCAAGCAGCAACTATGAGCAGAGGACCGGGATTCTATTGCTGGCTCTGTCACTGATCTGCTGTGTCACCTTGGGCAGGTCCCTTCGCCCTTCTGTGCCTCGCTTTCCCCATCTGTTAAATGGGGGCTAATGACACTTAGCTGTTTTTGTAAAGCGCTCCATGATCCTGGGATGAAAGGGGCTGTACAGGTGCAAAGTCATTGTTATTCTCCTTCTCAGAAGCTTGGCTCATGTATGTCCTTAAAGATAACACAGGACTTTGATTGCCACGTGTTTTTGCACCACAGAGTTCAGTTCATGGAACAAGCCTGTCTCAGGGGTGGGCTCAGCTCCCAGGCCTTTTCCAAAGCTGGCAGACTCATTTCTGCAAATATATTTGCACTGTTTTTAAAATATTATTGCTGATGCACAGGTCAGCATGGCAGGACCTCAATATCCTCGGGAGGTGCGCGCTGGAGGAGAAACCCATGAATATGGAAGGTGGAAAAAATGAATGTTTAATAACCGCTGACCAAAGGCAGTCCAGCAGAACATCGCCTTTCCCTGATGCGCTGAGGATTAAGTTTGGGATGTAGCTCGCTTTTCTCCATTAGCTACGTACTGTCTCACAGAAATGCCATCTGCCAGTATGAAAAATGAAGCCAATTAGGAACCAGCAGACTGCATGGGCCAACAAGCACTTCAGCAGCTCCTGAGTTTGTGAATAACAGCAACAGCCATTTATCTTACTAGTCGCATGGCATTTTTCGCCTTTCTGTGGCATGGATCCAGTCGGGCAACAGGCAGTAGCATGGAATAAACAGTAGCAGGATTAACTCTGGTATGGGATGGGAAATTTATCATGGAATGTAGCATATGCCCTCCCCTACACTAGGGGGCTGCATAACCAGCGTCTAGGTAACATGACTCAGTGCTGCAGTCGAGGAGGCTATGTTCAAAAATATGTCCCAAAGTTGATTTTCCTGTTGGTTTGCAATTGTATAGACCCTGTCCATAATATTTTTTGCCCTTGATTTTAACCAAAAGGATTTGCTTCCTTGAAAAGAGCAGGTTCTGGTAAAGCAGGTGTGGTCGACTTTTCTAGGCTTGTTGGCTACATTTGCAATCATGTCACAGTTCAGGGAAATTGCACCTGTATTCCCCCTTCCTGGTCCAGCAAGGCATCCACTCCTACAGTCAGAGAGAGGATTGCAGCAGATGGGCCCGCGCTAGCTTTGCTCGAGCTAGTGTGAATAACAGTAACAATGAAGTCAGGGCAGCACAGGCGGTACAAGCCCACCAGGACCCTGGGTACGTACTTAAGTGGCTAGCCCACGCTGACATGGCTTCACTGCTTTTGAGCCGGCTAAATCAAAGTTAGCACGTGCTGCAGTCACACCGCTGACTGCAGTGTAGATGTACCCACTGTGTCGGCTGATACGCACACTCACGATTTTATAGCGAGGCTCGCGATATGTAGTGGTTTTCTTGAAGCCCCAGATCCCGGAGCCAGGACTCTGCACGAGAATCTTGGCTTTCATTTTTTTTAAAAAGTAAGTTTCTAGCCTTCATGGTTATGGAGAAAAGTTTGAAAACATGACCCGAGTGCGCCCTAAAGCTTCTGAAACCAGAAGGCAAAGAAAAAGAAATAGATAGATAGATAGATTTCATGATTTTCAAGGCAATCTCATGATTTTTGGAGCTCGACTCGTGATTTGTTCAGTTTTGGGGTAGGCATTACGCCCTCTGTCACAGGACTACAGTATGTCCTGCCTCCCCAGGGAAGACTGACTCATTGATCTAAGAGGTGTTTTCCCTCACTAACCACAGTTGGCGTAGCAGGCAGTAAAGTTCTTGGGTCCCATTGCAGTCCCTGTGTGTTGTTCTGATGACGAGGGGTATTTAATAACAGAGCGTGCTGGTGATCTCTGAATGTGTTAGACACGATGACTCTTGGTTAGGAAAGGCCCAGAATCGGAACTGTATGCTTTATATTAAAAATCACAAAACCTGTCCAGGTTTTTCCAAGTGTAATGTGCGCTTTACCCCGAGGAAGTATTTTAGATTCACCAGTAAATAAACAAATAAGCCCGTCTCTAATGGAGCATTCTCTGTAACGACATCATCATGCCATCTGGCTCCTGTGGAGACGAAACCTAATTTATCCTGAACTTATTCAGTTAAAACCTATTAGTCTCATTTACATCAATCTGTACAGGACAAAGGAACCGCCTCTCATGGAGAAGCCCAAAGAGACGGTTCAGAGGGGCAGCTGGTGGCTGCTATAACAATGCCGACATCACCATAAAGAAAGACACGTCACTGTTTGAAGCAGATGAGGAACTCCCCATGAACGCGGATGCTTCACTCCCTGGATTTCTGCAGAGAAAGGTCCTAGGCCCCAGATCCTGAAAGGCACAGACTGGGCTGGGTGAGATCTCCACCAGTGACCTGGAAGAGCTTTAGCAGAGAAAAGGGAAATGGTTCACTCTGTGCCAGCTGTAGGGTTTTGGGAAAACTATGAAAAATGTCCTCTCCACCCAGCCTGCCACATGCAATAGCCTGATGCCCTAGGACAGTGGCTTTCAACCTTTCCAGACTACTGTACCCCTGTCAGGATCTGATTTGTCTTGCGTAACCCCAAGTGTCACCTCACTTAAAAACTACTTGCTTACAAAATCAGACATAAAAATACAGAAGTGTCACAGCTCATTATTACTGAAAAATGGCTCACTTTCTCATTGTTACCATGTCATTATAAAATAAATCAATTGGAATAGCAATATGGTACTTACATTTCAGTGTTCAGTACATAGAGCAGTATAAACAAGTCATTGTCTGTATGAAATTTTAGTTTGTACTGTCTTTGCTAGGGCTTTTTATGTAGCCTGTTGTAAAACTGGGCAAACAACTGGATATAAAATATAATAATAAGGAGGTATACCTAACTCATAGAGCTGGAAGGGACATTAAGTCCAGTCCCCTGCCTTCACAGCAGGACCAAGTGTTGTCCCTGACAGACTTTTGTCCTAGATCCCTAAATGGCCCCCTTGAGAATTGAGCTCATAACCCTGCGTTTAGCAGGCCAATGCTCAAACCACTGCGCTATCTCTCCCCTGCTGAGTTGATGTACCCCCTGGAAGACCTCTGTGTACCCCCAGGGGTACATGACCCCCTGATTGAGAACCACAGCCCTAGGATGATGGTGTTCTGCTTATGGCAGGAACCAGTCCTGGTTTGGCTTGATTGTATGGCAATACAGCTACATAAATGCACCATGCAAATGTAGTGCATCCCCCGTCCAATGCACCGCCTCAGTGCTTTACTCCACCAGTATTCAAAGACTCCCTGGAAAGCTAAACCAAAGGAAGCGAGTGAAGCTGCCAACCCTGGAGGGGACCTCCAGAAATTGATGTGGGACGGGGCAGTCCGCCAACTGCAAGTCTGATTATAAGAGCCCACGATGACCAAATTAAATTTAAATGTGGGCCATAAGGCAGAATGACATCTTTAGAGTGTCACATCCCACTGTCTCCACGTCTGCACACAGGGGACCGCTCGTCCACACAGGCAGCTACATGAAAATAAAGGGTTTATGTCTATCTGGCCTTTTGCTTCTTTATATTTTGGGCTTGTGAATGGGAGTTGAATGATTCCTAGGCTCACAGCCTCGCTGGGGTAATCTGAGCCCCGTCTTGCTGGTCCCATTGAAGCCAATGGCAAAATTCCCGATGACTCTAATGGAAGCGAGGTGAGCAGTGCTTAATTTGTAATGAAAGAGGTGGTGGGGCTCAAGCCACTTTTTTGCTTTCATAACTGACGCCCCAGAGGTGCCAGGGCTGTGAACTGCCAAGCCCAGAGGTGCAAAGTAAGCACTGGAGACAAGGTTATAGCCTTACAGGAGGACATAACCAGAGCTGGGCAAAAATTTTTAAGCCAAAACTTTTTTTTGCAGATTCAGCAACAGTGAGACATTTTGCAAATTTATGTCCGTTTCGCTAAGTTGTTTCAGGACCGAAGGCGGCTGAGCTGAGTTTCCTGGAGACGGAGCAGAGGGGAAATATGCCATAGGAATTAGGAACATGGCTGTGAAATTAGATTAGTTAGGCAATGTCAAGCCTTTGGAGCTATGGTCAAGCCAGAGAGCCAGACAGTGGCAAACTGTACTGCTCATTCCTGCAAAGGCAACAGAGGAGATCCCCCACGCAGGCCGGAGCAAGCAGCATTTATGTTGTTATACATCACACCTAGGGACTAGGACAGATGGCGATGCTCTTAGGAAATGTATAGGGAACCACCTCCTTGGATGTGGGCAGCTAAAGAGGCAACTCTCACAATTTTATTATGAATTCTGTGATGTATGAGGGTTTCTCCAAGCCCCAGCTTCCGGAATCATGTGATTATGAGGGAATCTCAGTTTGTGTTGTTTTTTTAAAGTACGTTTCCAGCACTCATGGTTGTAGGAAAAAGCTCAAAAATGTGACCCGAGTGCATCATAAAGGTTCAAACTCTTGAAAGCAAACATCAAGAACCTAACATTTAGTTTATTTAAAAATCTCATGTTTTTAAGCCAAGCTCATGATTTTTGAGGCACTGACTTGTGATTTTTGAACACATGGGGTTGGCACAACTGCCAGCATATACATCTCATGATTGACTTCTAGACACACACACAAATAGCTGGTGTTTTAAAAAAAATAGGAATAGATAGTCTGAAAAAGACAATATAGAAATAGTTGGAGGTTTAAATAGAAATTATAACTAGAGGCAGAAAGCTTAAAAAAAACTAAACTAGAAACAGGCAGAGATTTAAAAGGAATTAGAAAAAAAGGCAGAAATCTTAAAATTTATTAACAATTAGAAACATTAAAAATAAATTGGAAATAGATTTTGAGAAATTAACAGGCAAGGGATGTTTCATGTAACTAGTCAGTGGTTATTTAGCAAGTGAATACGGTTTAAGGGCCTGACCCAAAGGGTACGTCTACACTGCAAGTGAAAGCGTAGTTGTAGCATGGATAGATACACCCGTCCTTGCTTTAATCTAGCTAGCAGGGTAACAATAGTGAAGATGTGGCGGCAGGGGCTAGCCACCGAGTATGTGTTCAGGGTCCCTGCCGGGTTTGTACGTGGGTGGGTAGACCTTGTCACCTTGGTTTCACTGTTATTGTTACCCTTGCCAGCTAGATTAAAGCAAGGACAGTTACACCCAGCTACACTACACTCACCTTCACTTGCAGTCTAGACATACCCTGAATTCAGTAGAAAGACTCTCACTGATGGCTTTGGTTCAGGCCCTAAGGGTTGGCCTGGATTAGGAGAAGAGATTGTGATTAGGTCGGGGTTAGATAATCCGTGTCAGCGACCCTTCAACTACTTTACTAATCCAGACCTACCCTAAATGCATTGTCTTCCCCAACCCTTTCCCCCTCTCCCATTGTTTGCTACATTCACGTGTTGCTTAGACCAGGGGTTCTTACAACAAATTTTTGGTGGCCCCAGCGTGCAGCCATCAACTCTTGCTGGTGTCTGGTCTGACAATTTTTCCTAAAATACTTAATTAACTTTAGGAAAAACAAATCAATATGTCCATATACATGGCCAAATCACTGTGATGTATTTATGCAGGGTTTTTGGCAGACTCAATAATAAAAATAATATACAGTTGTCTCTGTTCTTGACTGGACCTAAACAGAATAGAAACACAAATACGGTGCTTCGCACGTTCTTGTCTTTTGTTGTTGTTGTTTCTTTTGCTTTTTTCGTTTGCTTTTTTTTAGACTTGCTAGCTAGTAAGTCTGCTGCTGTGAAAAGTGGCATCTGTATGTTTGTTAATATTACTTTTCACAGCAGACTTACTCAGCCCCAGCAAGCCCGGGGACAAATTAAGCCCTGGATGGGGAGGTGGATAGAGAGGCAGTGGAGGCCAGGGGCAATGGGGGAGAGAGGGCTGAGGGTCCAGGGGAGGCAGCAAAGGCCAGAGATGATGGAGGCAGGGGCTGAGAGTCGGGAGAGGCACTGGGGGCCAGGGGCGATGCGCGGTGGATGTGTGAGGGGCTAGAGCCGGGGTAGGCAACCTATGGCACGCGTGCCAAAGGCGGCACGCGAGCTGATTTTCAGTGGCACTCACACTGCCCGGGTCTTGGCCACTGGTCCAGGGGCCTCTGCATTTTAATTTCATTTTAAATTAAGCTTCTTGAACATTTTAAAAACCTTATTTACTTTACATACAACAATAGTTTAGTTCTATATTATAGACTTATAGAAAGAGATCTTCTAAAAACGTTAAAATGTATCACTGGCACATGAAACCTTAAATTAGAGTGAATAAATGAAGACTCGGCACACCACTTCTGAAAGGTTGCTGACCCCTGGGCTAGAGTGATGCCTCCACAAGGTAAACCTGCCACAACCTCAACCCCC